TACCAATCAATTTCATCGTTAGATTGATTATGTTGATTCAATAGTTATATTTATTTTCATCTTTGTATGGTTATGATTCTCCATATTTAATATTTTACATTTATTTCTACTTTTGTATGGTTATGATTTCCCATATTTAATGTGAAAACGTTAAATATGGAAAATCATAACCATACAAAGATGAAAATAAATATAACCGTTAGATCCACATAATCGATCTAACGGTGAAATTGACTACTAGTAACATTAGTAGTAACACTAATTGATTGTTACAATATCTTATCCCTTATAAATAATAAATTTTGTTCAAGAATATCATAAAATTTTAGTCTTGTGCGTTGATCATTAAATAATGTTCTAAGGGAAAACTTGTATAAATAACCTAAATGTACTAGTCAACAACTTAACCACTTATAATGTACTAGTCTATTTATATTGTCACTTAATATGTATCAAATGCAACCTAAATCTTCATTTACATACTTGTAAGGGAAGACTTCAAACCAAAAAAATATGTATTTTATAATAAGAAGACATTTTTTTTTAGAAATAATAAGAATACATTTATTAAGAAGAATAGTTGAATTTAAGGTCGGATTATACAATTTTAATGAACAAAAAATTAACCAAATGAGTCAACCATTGTTAATAAATTTTCAACTTTTTTTTTAGACACTGACAGATGTCTCATTTTTAAAAACTTCAAAATATAAGAAATTTTGTAAAAGAAGATTTGGAACACTCGTTTTGACCCTCTCTTTTTTCTACTGACTATTATTACCTGAAATATTATGCTCATCCCAATAAATAACATAAGTTTACTCTCAATTAGTTGGGGCCAATATGAAATTCCACCTAATAAAAAAGAATGTTTTTAAAAGATAATGTTAACGAATGTGTAGCTAGCATATTTTAATTTTGCAGATAGACAAACATACTAAGTAACTCATGCGACGGACCAAATAAAATATTATTTTATTGAGGGTGATATTTTTAACATGATTCTGACATGTCATGAACACACGACACAAAAATTATATTCGGCTCAACTTGTTTTTAAATTTGTGTTGTATTTGTGCTGACAAAAATTGACACGAAAAAAAAATCTTGTTGTGTTTTAACCCAAAATCACAAAAATTGACCTGCATTAATTAATTTTTTTAGAGGTTATTCATGTCGTATATAAGTTATTTGTACCTTATCGTGTTATGTCAACCTGCATAATAAGCAACACACTTTAATATTAATATGTTATTCTTGTAATGTTAGATCATGACCACCCATATAATAAGTAATACATTTTGAGGTTACAGATTATCCGTATTGTGGTCGAGTTGAATCTATTCATATTCGTATCAAATTTTGTGTTTATCGTGTAGTTGTAATTTGAATTGTCGCTACTAAATTTTTTTGTTAATCATATCAACAAACTCAATGTGTAAACAAAAATTTACGATGTTTGATTTGTATTTTGGTTTTTAATTTTAGTATTTTTATACAAAAAAAAAAAAAATATCATCTTATTTTTATTCTCTATCATCTTTTAAAAATTTATAAAGAAATTAAAATTTATCTCTATATCCTTCATAAAATTTTAAAATCAGGAAAACATTATAAAAGTAAGTAAAAAATGTTTGTCCTTTTAAATGATACAAGTTATGTCATTTTACTCTCACAAAGAGATGAGACCCACACCTTTACTTTTTTGTGCACTCTCTCTCCTATGATTTATCTCTTTCTCTCACTTAAAATGATATAACTTTACCTACTTTAAAATTACACACACATTTCCCTAAAAATAAAGCGTCATTTTTATATCTATAATAAAAGGAGCTTAATTTTTATGTGTTGTGCGTGTAAAAAATGTTTAAACTGTCATCTAATGAAATATTATCATATTATTTAATAGCTTTATTAACTCATGAAAATAAAAAAAAATTAAACTAATATTGAAATTTAATTTCTAATAAAAACATATCAATCAAAAATGAAATAAAAAAAAAGAAGACTAAAACACCGTATCCATATATTCTCAGCCGACTAACTATATGATTGGTGGGTACAATGAAATAGCTGGCACAGCCGCTTAATTGAAACAACAATTAGGCAGAGTACATTGTCACACACTACCAATGCCCCATATCTTTTCAATGAATGGTTATTAGTTTGACAGAGTAAAGAGCCAATTAGATGTAACGGAAGAGAATTTATTTGCTTCAGTTGCATACTTCCTTAGTTGTCTTTGGGAGGATTAAAATCTTATTGGGAGATAGATACCTTCTCTTCTCACCCACTCCTATATATAGATAGCCAAGCCTATTCTGTACAATCAACTCACACCATGTAATCTAAAAAAACACAAAACCTCTCCTTCTGCCTTTAGGCTTAGAACAAAGAATTGAATTAAAGAGTCAAGCTATATATGCATGCAGGTTTGTTTGTGGAGGTGACAGAAGAGAGTGAGCACTTGGCTTTTTCCTAGCATGACCCTTTCATGCTAAAAGCTGTGTGCTTACTCTCTATCCGTCACCACCTCCTTTCATTTATCTCTCTCTCTTTGGTTTTAACATACTTGAAAGCTTTATATTAATTGTTAATTCACTGAATCATTCTGCTTATTAACTGCTACTCAAGCTACATGGCCATGTGTATCAGAGTGCAAGTCATCAAATATTTCTTAAGCCATTCATTCAATAACAGGTGCAGTCAAAGGTATTCTAATTTTGTCTGGTTGTATGAAAGTTTTAACTCTCATTTTATGCTATCTAATTTGTTTCTTTGTGGTATCCGACAGTGAATTTTTTTACTCCTTTATGTATTCAGATCATGTTATTTCTTGTTAACCATTCTTTAAGTAATTGGCTTGGACCGTCAAAGAGGCTATCCGATACAACTGAAGGACTTCTTGTATAATTATTATTTTTTATATCTTTTTTAAAAAAGTATGACAATGCTAAATACACTGATCACTACCATTTAATTATAGCTACTCTCATCTTGTTTTTGCATATCCATATTCAGATTCTCGATCGCCCCTTGTACAAATATGTGGTAATGTGACTTTAAATATGTGTATCTAACATTATCCTAAAAATTATTAGCCACTTTGGAGGAAGCTAATCCCAAAGAAAAAAAAATATTGTTGTTCTTCCTTGTTTTAATGATGAAAGAAATTTAACTCTTCTCACTAAACCGAAAAAACAGATTTAAATATTTTATAAAAATACAAATGGCGTCTTCAAAAAAAATTTATAAATATGTTAAACACTTTTGATAAACGAGATTATACGTAAAAGGGAAGGATATTGTGACAACCAAGTTGTGTTACTACTAAGTGACTACCAATTAATCTCACCGTTAGATCGATTATATTGATCCAACGGTTATATTTATTTCCATCTTTGTATAGTCATGATTCCCCATATTTAAAGTGAAAGCATTAAATATGAAAAATCATAACCATACAAATGTGAAAATAAATATAAAGTATTAAATTTGGAGAATCATGACCATACAAAGATGGAAATAAATATAACCGTTGGATCAATATAATCGATCTAACGGTAAGATTGATTGATAGTCACTTGGTAGTAACACAACTTGGTTGTCACAATACCCTTCCCCGTAAGTAAATTAGTTAAATACAAATTTTTGTACATGCTAATTATTAAATCTAAATTCTTAAGTCAAGGGTTAGTCTAATTATTAAGAGAGTATACATGAAGAGCACGTTATCTAATAATAATAATCTCAATTAAACAAAAAGTTTGTCAAAACTACATTTTTTTTATAGTTAATCCACCCTTAATTACCTAATTGAAGTGAGTTGGCTCCCTGCGGTATCCCCGCTAGTCAGAGATAAAGATATTTAAACCCTCCCTTAAAGGTGGCATGTGGGGATCGAACCGAGATTCTTTCATTTTCACTTATTTAGTTCCTTTGCTACCAACTAAGCTACCACCATTTGTGATTATGTTATCTCATGCAACACACAAAAAATAAATGAGATCCACTTTTTTTTTCTTCTCTCTAGTGGGTCTCACCTATATTTATTTTGTTCCATAAGATAATTTATCTCATGCAACATGAGAAATATATTCCCCAAAATCTTCTACCTAAGAGTTGTTAGTTTAGTGACGATCTAATTTGTTCTCTAGATTTGACGTGCCCAAAGGTTAGTGAGTTTGATTTATGAGAGTCACAATCAATACAAAAGGTTGAGAGGCTCAAATCTGAAATCTAAGTAAATTAAAATTTGTTATTCTTACATTCATGTAATCTATTTTATTTTTTTTATAAGTATTCTCAATGAAATATTTATGATACTAATCCGTTGAGGTGAAGGTGCTGGTCAAATAAAACCCATGACGATTTTGCCATACAAACCCTTGACATTGCAATTATGTAAACTTAATTTTACAATATATTTCCACTATGTACAAGCAACCCTTGACATTGTATTAATGTTAACTTAAGGTACTAGGATCCTAGCTAGGGTATCCTGTTTATGCCTTAGTTCTTAAATTAAAAATCTAAATTTAAAATTAAAAATCTAAATTTAAAAAACTAACAACAAGTACAAACGGATTGCTTATTAAAAAAAAAGAATAAGAACTGAAAAAAAGAACATTATTTAAGTAAGAGAATTACAATTGTGATGCTGCTGAATTCGAACAATAACAATGAAAATGATTATATTTACAAATTTTTTTTTATAAATTACACTATATTTTTTCTGAAGAATATTAGGTTACACTATATTTTTTGGGAATATATAATGTAATTTGTAAAAATTTGTAAACGGATCATTTCCAAATAACAATAGAGTAATCAAGAAATAAGTGAAAATAAAATAAAATAAAATTGTAATTTTTTTTTATTTTTTTTGAGTAAGAGAATTGCAAATGGTCTGAACATAACAGAAAACTATAAATTAAAAGGTAGTATAAGTGAAGGACCAATTAAAAGGAAGTAATTCATTTCATTCAACGCAAGTCTTGTTGACCACACCTCAAACAGAAGAATGTCCTCACCGAGATCGGTTGCTGTTGCCGTCAGTGGAGGCTCCGGCGCCGCCAAGGGTAGTCGGCGAGCTGTCCAGTGGGCGGTGGGGAATCTCTTCCCTCAAGCCGATAGGTTCATCTTAGTCCACGTCATCCCCAGAATCACTTCAATTGCAACCCCAAGTACGTGCGCCTGCCCTCACACCGTTACACTTTTCGTTTTCAATCGTTATGCATAATTCAATTATTATTATGTTATTTGTTCTATGCACAAAACAAAGGTTTTTCTCTCTAATGGTTTAATGGGCAAAACCTTTGAAAATTTGCTGGGCAGGATACAGTATTAGATATTAGGCAATTAATTACATGGTTGTAGTAATACAAGTACCCATTTTAGTTCAAGTGTGCTATTAATTATAGATGATTATTGACTGATTTTTTGTAACTGAAATGCATTGATGGTGTTTTGGGATTTCTAATTCACAGCTGGAGAGTATGTTTCCATTTCCGAAGCAGATGCCAATGGCTTTGCAGCTTATGTGCAGGATGTGAAACAAAAGTCTGAACAAATCTTTGTTCCATTCAAGAAACTCTGTGATACAAACATGGTAAGTTCCTTTCTACGATGCACGAGTATTTGATACGATATAGAAATACATGATTTTTTTAAATAAATAAATTAGGATACCATAATGTATCCACTTGTGATTACCAACCTGAGATTCTCAGTTGTCTAATTCGTTTAGTGAGGATAAAAGTATGGTATTAATTTTGTTGAGGGCAAGATTGCAAGAGTGAGAATATGCTTTGAAAGAAGTAATTGTTGAGATTTGAGAACGTGACTTAAATATATATTTATGGTTTTTGTGAGTTCTTTCTTTGTTTTCTGGTCTGCGCTAATTTCAACTCAAGATTAAAAGTGTGGCAAGGGAATAAGATTAATCTGGAAATTTTGTAGATGGAAACCTTGCTGCTAGAAGATGACAATCCTGCAAATGCACTTCTTAGCTTTATCTCAGAGTCTGGGGTCCAAATATTAGTGATGGGTTCTTACACCTCAAATTTTATTACAAGGTATGTGTTTCTAAATATCCAAAGTTAATCCCTGCATAATAATCATACAGTATCGTATTGTGTCTATCTCAAATAAGGTTTCATAATTATGCTGCTATATATACATTTTACGACAATGGTAATTATAAATGTCACAGGTCAACTTGATTTTAACTTCCTGTTGGTATATATCTATTATCTAATTGGGTTTTTGCAATCAGGGGTTTGGCTCTTCAATGCTAAAGTTATCGCTACAATAAAATACTTATGTTGGAAGTATAACGAAATTAATTTTCACCAACAGTTCATCAAAGAAAGAGAATGGATCTTAAAGCAATATAGAATAATGCCCATTTCACTAGCTTCTCCTAAATTTCAGTTTTTCTTCTTCCAGGAAGCTAAAAGGACCTGGGGTACCATCAACGATTCTAAGATGTGCTCCTGAAAGCTGTGATGTATATGTGGTAGCTAGAGATAGAATTATATCAAAGTTAGCTGATTCTTCATCTTCACATTCTCATGGTATCATTGAAGTTCTTGCTTTTTAAGATCTTAATGTCTGCAGCTGAGCCCTAATTGTGTGGCCATCTTTATGTTTGTTTTTATTATGCTTATTTCATAGAATTAGGGTCCCGGATAAAATCTTTGTGGAAGAAGTTGTTAAGTTTCTGATTTTCTTATTTTTCCTCCAGCAGAGGCGAGCCCAAGATACTTCATGTCTGCTCAAGTAAATAATGCAGACAATGGTACTGGCATTGGTAGAGAAATGTCTGGAATTAATTCATCCTCAACAGAACCTAAAATTCTAAAAAATTTCAGATTTTTATCAATATCAGAGCGTAGTTACATTGGTTTGCAAACATCTAGTCGCAGGGATTCTTTTGAACATTCTATCAGAAATGAAGAAGAAAATGCAGAGAACTGTGGAGATGATGTTGAAACTATGAGCCTCCACTCATTTGATTCCATAGCTTCTGCACACCGTGAACAGGTAATTTCCTTTCTTTTTCTTGGTTAAAAAGGAAATGGGCTCACACATATTTTGTGAAACTGCTATAATTTGTGGTTCTCCTCCAGCATGGTAGTGCCATTCATATGATGTGTACTTATGCAGTTAGTCATGCAAGAAGAAGTAGAACGGCTCCAGCTGGAGTTGCAGAATACTATTGCCATGTACAAACAGGTTTGTGAAGACCTGGTTCATGCTCAAAGCAAGGTGAGGGTTTGATAGTATTTGGTTTCTCTTTGGTTTGTGGAGGGAAATACATGTGTCTCTAATTCAGCTAAACTATTTCCTTTTATTTATTTTTTCTCCCCATTTTCAATGCCTAACTAAGCTGATGCATCGAAAAGTATCACTGAAAATAAGTTGTTAAAAGAAAATGCAATTTTCCCTAAGAACATGTATTACTGCTTATTAAGTATTTTATGTTTAAACTTTGGAGAATTAAAACCTGATCAACGGCCTTAGAATCATCAAAATTCAATAAATAAATAAAAACAAAACGAAAATAAGTTAGTTTGCATCTGATTCAAACATAAAGCTTTTGCCCTCCTTAATTTCAATAAATTTTTTTTACAAAATTTAGTTCTTTGAAAGCCACAGCCATGTCGACTTCATTATTGCGCAATTGCTAAAATTTGAGCTAGATTTATAATTTAGAGCTTGGCGCTCCACCTTACTTATGCCCCGTCAGAGTAATTAATGGCTTTATGACATGACATAGCTCTTTTTACATGCATGCTTTCACTTGCAGGCCCTTGTACTTTCTTCTGAATCTCTTGAAGAAGCTAAAATAGTAAATGCTTCCCTGAAAAGAGAGGAGATTTTGAGAAAGATTGCTGCTGAAGAGAAAGAAAAGTATTTTAAAGTCACGAAGGAACTTGAGGAGGCAAAAAGTAGACTTGCCAAAGAGTCATACGAAAGACAGATAGCTGAACTTAATGTCCTTAAAGAATCCATAGAAAAACAGAGAATTGTTGATACGTTGCTCTCAAATGACAGGAGATACAGACAGTACACCATGAATGAAATCAAGATAGCGACAAACTTCTTCTCTGAGGATTTGGTAATTGGTGAAGGAGGATATGGGAAAGTTTACAAATGCAATCTTGATCACACACCAGTAGCTGTAAAGGTTCTGCATCAGGACGCATTCAACAAGAAAGAGGAGTTTCTGAAAGAGGTTTTCCTTGTGCTTTGTTTTTTCTTCCTTTTGAAATTGTTTATATGAGAGTGAGTTTCTGAGACTAATGAACTCTTTAAATTGTCGTGTCCATCTGATGGAGTACTTCATATCATATTTTAAAAGTTCTAAAGCATGAACTGATTTATAAAACTAACAAATGCAAATTCAAGTATCCAAGTCCCTTGGAAATCTTTAAAATTGACTATCCCACTACCCCCACTGGAAAAATTTACTGATAAAAAGTTACTAATCAGCTAATCCTTGACTGGTCTAGCTTCATCAGGACTTATTCTTTGTTCTCAGTGTGTGCTGCAGTAGCCCTCACTTGAAATTTTGCTGATTTAATAGTTAATCAAAGTTTAGAACTCGTGCCCCCTTACGTCTCATTTTTCTTTGCTTTCTAACGATGGATGCTTTTTAAATATCTGAAGTGAAAGCAATATTTGAATGCTGCAATAACAAGAGAAAGCATTCCTTCCCGTTGTCTCCCATTTGTTGCAGGTTGAGATTCTTAGTCAGCTACATCATCCAAATATGGTTTTGTTACTGGGAGCATGTCCTGAGAGTGGTTGCCTTGTTTATGAATACCTGGAAAATGGAAGTCTAGAAGACTATCTTCTCAGTAAAAATGGAAAACCACAACTTCCTTGGTTTTTTCGATTCCGTATAGCTTTTGAAATGGCTTGTGGACTCTCATTCTTGCATAATTCGAAGCCAGAGCCTATTGTTCATCGAGATATAAAACCTGGCAATATCTTGTTAGACAGAAATTATGTGAGCAAAATTGCAGATGTTGGGTTGGCTAAGCTCCTTTCAGACGTTGTGCCTGACAATATTACAGAGTACAGAGAATCGATGCTAGCTGGTACCCTGCACTACATGGACCCAGAGTATCAGAGAACTGGCACTGTCCGACCAAAATCAGATGTATATGCTTTTGGAGTTATAGCTCTCCAATTGATAACTGCTCGCCATGCACGTGGACTCATTTTGACTGTTGAAGATGCAATTACAAAGGGCTCCTTCCGTGATATTTTAGACAAATCAGCTGGAGATTGGCCAATGGATGAGACATTGGAATTGGCTCAAATTGCCCTTAACTGCGTTGCACTTAGATGCAGAGATAGACCAGAACTTGATACTGAAGTTCTTCCACTACTCAAAAGACTTTCTGATGTGGCAAATGCCACTGCAAAGATAGGAAGAAATACTACAAGCACGCCAAGTCAGTATTATTGTCCAATCGTGCAGGTAAAAACCATGGTTATTGTGTTTTGATATCTTTGTGATGCATTTCGACTTTCAGATTATTATTTTTCACTCTTGATTTACTTGTGAGTACTGCAGGAAGTCATGGATGATCCACATATTGCTGCGGACGGTTTCACTTATGAGTACAGAGCAATCAAGGCATGGCTCAACAAGCACAATGTGTCCCCCGTGACAAAGCTTAAACTCCAGCATTCTGTGTTGACTCCAAACCATACTTTACGTTCGGCCATTCAGGAATGGAAGTCAGGAGTCTTATTTGATTAGGAAGCTGTTAATTCCTTGCCGCTCATCTCAAGCAGCTTTTTCTTGCAGCATAAAAACTGTCAGAATTTGAATTGTACAAATATTTGTAAAGCAATTTTGGGAATCTAGGTGCAGCAAATTGTTTGGTTGGTTGGTTTTTTAAATGTTGTATATGAACTTTTCTCAAGCTTACAGGGACATGTTGGACAAGAATGTAACTTTAAAATATTAAATGTTAATATATCGAGACACTGTCCCATTACTAAAGTATTGACACTTACACATTATAAGTGTAATGATCAGAATATAATGCACTTTTATTTGCTTTATGTTATAAAGTAAATTACATTACCAATGAGAACACTTTGTAATTTATTATGACATTTAAAGCTTTACAATTAAATAATACTATTCATGTGATCATTTATGTTATTTTGCACTTACAAGGTTGGAACGTACTGGCTATAATTTTCGAAAATATAATCTTCAATTGTACACCGTAATTTTACGTATTCCTTTCATAGTCTCTCTAAATCTATTTTTCTAATGCTTTGAGTAAAAATACTTCCCATAATCTTTTTTCTTCAAACATTATTTCACATTAAGCACGTTCCATTTAGCCATACAGATGTACAACTATAAGCCAATAGCATATTCTAAGTTGGAATTTAGAACAACTAGATGAGCCAGTACTCTGCTTCTGCTAGTGCCATTGCATATCATTACTAGTTACAATCCCATCAGCCTTTACATATATGCAATCATCTGTATAGTTATTTCTGCCTACTGGTGACTTATAGACGCCAAAAGGGTTGCCATGGCAAGTAATATCCAAAAACATTACTCATCTATTTGTGTAAATTCTAAAGCATTAGCATCGGGATCACGTGTAAAGATTGCTGGTCTTCCAGAGCGGCTAAGTGTGTAGGGGATACCTACAAAGTAGAAAAACACAAAAAATAAATAAAAATACAGCATCTCCTTTGGAAAACCTGCCATTTAGAAGAATGCATATCATGGTGAACTCCTAAAAGGTATGCTATTTAAAGAAGGAATACCAGCTTTATCAAGGATTGCTTTTAGCTTAGAAACATCCCGGATTGCGATACATGTGTGACGGTCTCTACCCCCATGTTGAGGTCGTCCAGTTAAAGGGTCAGGATTTGGAAGCTCCATCAAATGAATCATCTCTGAGCCTACCCACAACCAAGCACCCCTGTAGGGAAGCTTATCATGTGGCCTTGCTTCATTTATCTTGAGGCCTATATTTCATTGAATCTAGTTATTCATATACTTCCTTCTTGTTAAACAGTGTACACAGCATATATTAGTTTGAAAAGCCAGCATACCTAGAACATTTTGATAGAAGTCAAGTGATCTTTCTAGGCTTTCACATAAAATTCCAACATGGTGAACACTAACAACTCCATAATCTGAAAAATACCAGCCAAAAAAAAGCCGAATAAGCAGCAACTATCAAACATATGAACAAAGCAGAAAATGAACAACAACCAACCACATACCACTTTCCTCGTTGTTAGGGACTGATTCCTTGTCAAGTAAATCCCCTTCAACAGCCATCTGAGCTTTTATTCTCATGCTGGGAACATGCCATCTCCCATTTTTTACACTAGCATGATAGAATTTGGACTGCCTGTTCGTAGTTATGGGCGAAAAGTTGACATAATTCAACTGCAACAAGAGGGTCGATAAACAACAGAACTAAGATTGACATAAAAAATGACAAAGCATATTATATGGCATACTATCGAAGTGTCAATTAACAAGGCTCACAGCTGAGAAGCTGCTGAGATCACGAGATAATCTAATATTGTTAAAATTCAGTTCCGAAACACTTGATAGTTACATGCTTTCAAGATCCATTCATTAATCTTCTTTTTTTCTTTTTCTTTTTTCAATTTGATTAAAAAAGTCTTGAGTGACAAGAGCCCTTGGGCTTGAAGCGTGGATATGGCACAAGCCCATTATTGGTCTGCCTTGTGCTGCAGAAGCAGAAGTCCATTTTTTCGGTCTGCCTTATGATTTTCTTAATTCCACCTGAAAGTGGAGGTGATGAGGATCGAACTTGTGACCTCGTGGTCACTGAAGCTCTGATACCATGATAAGCGCCACTTCAACCCAAAACCTTAAGAAATTAGGTGAGGCTAAATTAATTATTTTATATCTCTCTAACATTGAGTGCTTTTTGCTTCATTTTTTTCCTTAACCAACAATAAAAAAGCATATAAGAAACAGAAACATGTCAAACCATCAGGGTAAAGGGAGTTAGATGCTCCCAATATCCCAGTCAGTGATGATTCTTTTACCAATCTGAATGGTGGCATCGAATGCCCAAGAAAATTCACTTTTCCCCCTCCTTGCTCTTCAGTTGACAACGTTGGCCAATGGTAATGTTTACCACCAAGAACAGAGAGGACAACAGATAAAAAAACATATCAAACCATCAAGGTGTAAGGGAGAGGGGCTAGTATCAGGTTCCAGTAATGACAAAGTAATTTATTTCCTGAGCATTTCTAATCTCCAATTAATCTACAGTATTAAATTAAAACAGCCCAAGAACATGAGCAGCTTATACGTTAGACATCATGATATTTGCAAATTGTAATAAAGCTTCACAAGGTTGCACAAACAGCCATAAGAATTAACATACAAATCACCAACTTGTGGATTAGGAATAAGAAGTTAAAAGCAAACACATACACCCAAGTCTCCTAACACCTCATAGTAGAAACACAAATTAAACCCCTTTTGATGATTGTTAGACACCCAATTTGCCAACTTGTACTAGAAAAATGAGATTGCTGAACATCATGAATTCCAAAATCACCTTTTGGTGCAGAGGGGAGATAAAGGAAGGTGCTTTAAGAAGGGAAGCCATGGCAGAGCAACAACTCATCTGGGTTTTGTCTAGTTTTCAGTATGATTTGTAAGCCCTATTGGGTATGTTGAGTTATGAGCAATGAGTGGACACAGACACAGCACCCTCCCTTTGTTTCTGGGGCCATCAAATTTCAGACTAAACACCAAATAGTAGCCACTAATTTGAGTATGGGACAATATTATAAAATCTAAACATAACAAAGGTTGATCTGTAAATATGATAGAGTAAGGGTACATTCATAATTTTCAAAAATACTGACATATTTTAAAAATATTCATAAATTAACTATGTGTCACGTCACTTAACATATTATATTCATACAAGACTAAAAGAGAGTTGGCTTTCAAGCCGCGGTTTGAACAAGGTCAAGGTCAACCATCTCAATGACGTATGCCAAAAAACAATATGCATGTGGCTCGAAAGAGGTGTTATGGTTTGATTTTATTTTTTTTTATATTTTATGAATGAGGAGTAAATTGAATAACAGTATGTACATATTTTTAATATAAAGATTTTATCACATGGTACTCGTGATATTAGAGTTGTTGACCTTGTACTTTTATCTTTTACTAAGTCTGTTGAGTTTTGATGTTGCTTAATAAATTATTATCATTTTTTTAAAGTATGTTATGCACTATATGTTAAATTCAATTCCTGTTCTATTTCAATACTCACTTGGATGTGACTCTATAATCGCGTAAGTCTTCATAACACTTTTATAATAAATAAATAAATTAAGTTCTGAAAGTTTAAAATAATTTATAAATAATCCAATCGGTGTAAGCTATTTTGTCAAAAAAAAAAAAAATAATGGGTGTTAATTTGTAATAATAATTAGTCTAATATAAGTTGGGTAGGTATAACCACTTTTGTAAAACCCGGCCGGGTTAATCCGAAATCCTGTGAACCGGTTATCAGACCGGTTCGAGTCAAGCATTGGACCAGACATGCATCGACTCAGTTAAACTCGGTCAAACCCAGTGACCCGGTCAGGTCATGTATTTAAAAAAAACTAAAAAATCAAAAATGTTTCATCTTATCAGGAAAAAATGTAAAACTCATATTAAAATTTTTTTGTAATTTTATTTGTTAGTATATTCTTCTACAATGACCTCAAATCTTAGTTTCTAATACTGCAGCAATGTGTGGAATAATAAATTAGAGAATGTGACATATGTCATTTTAATGTAGTTTTTTTTGGAAATATTCCATCGGTTCATCGCTTCGCGATTAGTCCAATTCGGGGCGGATCCAGGATTAAGGCTTTAAACCCCTCCCAAAGTTGGTACTGGGGAGATTCGAACACATGCCCTCACCCCCACCTGCTCAGCTCCCATGCGCCAACTGAGCTACCACCATTTGGTGTCATTTTAATGTAGTTGAATTTGTAAAATATGAGTTCAATGTTATTGAGAGGTATGTTTATGGGAATTCTGAGTTGCAATTTAAATTGACATAGTAATAGCGTGCATTTTTATTTATTTATACTTCATATTTTTGAACTTATTTAGTGAACCTTGTTTAATTCATTTTAGATATGGAGAATATAATTGAATTTATATGTTCATATTTATATATATATATCTATATATATCCGGGTCAACTGGTCCAACTAGTGACCCAATTACCCAGTATCCCGACCAAGTCGATGCCTGGGTCGGGTTTAACAACACTGAGTATAAGCTGATTCATCACAGGGTAAATTTGATAAATCATAAGCCTAATTTAACCTTAAGTATTAAGTTATTTCTATTGGCAAGTTATAGTTCATATTTTATATTAATTTATATAGTTATTGTTGAAAAATATTACTTTTTAATCATTTATATTAAAAAATTAAAATTAACTACTTGAAATAAATAAATGTTCTTAAAATATATTTATTTAAACTTACAAAAATAACTATGATATTTTTAATTTTACATACCGACCGAAATAAAATTAAAACAAATCAGTCTAATCTACCCAAAAAAAAATTAATTAAACTTTATTAATCTAACCCATATATTTTACCCAAGTAAAATTGAAGTATGTTAAACTATAAGAGGTGATATTATAATTTACAACACTGAAAAAAAAAATACATGAATTTCCAACTCATTGTCCATTAGCTTTGTGCTTTTTTCCTTTGTGTTTTGGGGAAATTTATTCCATGGTCCTTCCTCTCCTTTTTCTCCTCTCTCTCCTCTCTCCTCTATCCTTTCTATTCTCTCTACAAAGACCACAAGGCCGGGAGCCTTGAATATTGTCTCATGTTTTGGGACATTTGACCGTGCTTTTAGCAACTTTTTATCTAAATGCCATGGTGCATAACCATTTTCTCGAAATGCCACGTTTACAAGACTTGCTCTGAATATTGATGGGTCATGCATGCTATAACACTCTATAATATACATTCAGAGTATTAATTTAAGAGAATTATACATGTTATGTTACAGGAAACATTAAATCTATTTCTGCACTAATAAAATCTTGTGGGTCCTACTAGCTAAAAAAAATTAAAAAAACAAAATAAAAAATCACGACAATCAATGCATCAGCAGGAAGGATTTTGCTTTTTTCTGCGGCAGGATACAAACAACACCCTTAATTTAATTATGATATTGAATATAGTTAGAATTAGGCCTTAAACACTTATTATGTGTAATATTGTGAAACAGGATATTGTTATGATAAAAATGTGAATAAACTGTTTTCTTTCTTTTAACGTAACAAATTCATTTCACATTCATAATGATTATTCTAAATAGAAAGGTCCTACACAAGCTTATAGCCTCAAACCAAGTGGCCCTCGCAAGATTGGATTAGGAAAGCTGGAGTAAATAAAGTTAAGATTCATTCAGCTCGCTGGAATGGTCGTTGTAGCGAGGAAGTATATAGCAAGCCTTTTTTCTATGTTGCTCATTGAAATGCTCATTGCAGCAAGCAAAACCAACGAGCAAGTTCAGATAAATTTTTTCTCCCAAGTTTGCTTGCTGACGTGCTCATTGTAGCGAGTAAAGTCAGCAATCACATATGGCTCCATTTTTGTGACCTGAACTCCATCCTTAGTCATTAACTCAACTCTTACCACCTAATTGACCATAACACCATATGTATAAAGGTACAATACATCACTCTATCCAGCGGTGTTCATCAACCGATGCAAATCCATTCAAATCGTGGTGATCGAATCGAAAAACTGTTAACCGAATTAACCAAACACCGAGAAAAAATTCCGCATATTTTAATTGGATTGAAACAATTTTTAGTTTGGTTGGTAAAAATCAATCCAATATATTATGTATTTTATTATTTTTAAAAGATGATGACTTGGAATCTTGTTGTTTTGTAGACTTGAAATATTGGATATTATTGATAGCAAACAATCTTGTTTTAGTTTTTATTGTCTATTATATATATATATATATATATATATATCGGAAAACCAAAATCATAATTGTTTTTAAAAAAAAAACCATAAACAAACAAATTGAATTTTATTTGAAAACCATCAATGTAGGTCATTACTTCATGCCATGCTAGTAATTAAATGCAATAAAAATGAGATGATTTAAAAATGAAGATAACAAAAAAGTTTGTAATTTTAATGCTATTAATAATGACCTTCTGTATCATTTGAAACTTTAATTTTTGACTTTTTAAACCCTATAAAGTATTTATAGTAAAATGCGCTTTACAGTGACTTGGAGACATACATATTCTTTATAACACATTTACACAACAATAATATTTATTTTATTACTATTTTGTTATAAAGTGTGATTTCTGAAAAGAACTAATTTTGAAAAACACAATAAGATAAAAATCTATGAGCACCAAATATATAAACGCTTGAAATACGGTGTTATATTTACATCCATAATCATAGTACTCAAAGAGACAGCTATAAACTTGGGTAATGTATCAGGAATTGCAAGTGGGTTAATAGAAGGATTTAGATTATATATGTAGTAACTTGCAGGCTTGAATTTCAGTTACATTATTTTATTTTTGGTAAACTCAGTTGCATTATTTAATGGAAAAATATTAGAAATGCATGGCATCATTATTCTTATAGGCAAATGTAGATGGAGGTTATCCTTAATAAATTATTCCAGTCTATATCAGGAAATCGTTCATGCTCCTTAACAAATTTCGTACAAGTATTTTTTATTAAAAATTTTTAACATACACATTTTAAATATATATGTATAACCAATATAAAAATTATAAAATAAAAGATAAAAAATTAATTTTTCAAAAAATATGTATAATTAATACAAAAGAATTATGTATAAAAAAAACAAAAGAATTTAAATTTTAATTTAAATAAAAATGACATATATCTTTCTGTAAAAAACAAATTATAAAAATTTAATCACTATAAAAATTGATTATTCAGTGACCATCCAACTCTTACATCGTAAAATGATGTTAGTCATTAAGTATTTTACAGACCATTTTAATGTTTTCAACTATTTTCTGCATGAAAAATTGTTAAGCATATTAATAGTGCTTATTATTATGTCTATTGGGTGGGAAAATATTTAATATTTAAAATTATAACTATTTAAATTTGAATTTTGAACTTGATGGGTAGAAAAAGAGTTCAGCATTTAATATTTTTGCAGTGAAAAAAATATATATAATAAATTTAAATATAATATAAAACTATAGATTAAATGAAAAACTATTTATAATTATAAAAATATATGCATAGTTGATAAAAAAATTTAATTTTGAAATTTAACTGCAAAAAAAGAAAGAATGACTTGTTTATACTTTAAAAGAAAATAAATTAAAAATTTAACTTAAAACCAAATAATTGAATATATATATATATATATATATATATATATATATATACTTAAAACGAAAGTAAAATTAAACTTATAATTATATTTAATTTTTAGAATTATATGTGAATTTAAAATATAAATCACGCATAACTTATTATTTTTAAATATAAAAATTTTACATGCTGACGTAAAATGTTGACAGTTAGAGATAGCAAATTGATCTCGGTCCGGAGGGCCGACCAACCCCGCTCGCTAACATATTTTTCTTCTTCTTATATTTACTGTCTAACAAATCCGTCTTTGTGTGGTTTGTTAGAATATTAAACGTAATAACTCAAATATTTGACAACTCTTCATCTAATATATCTTCATTTATTACATGTTGATATAAAATGCTGACAGTTAGAGGTGGCAAAATGAGCTCGGCCCAAGAGGCTGGCCCACCCCACCTTCCAAACGGTCGGGTTAGCCCGCCAACAAGTTTTTCTCTCTCTTATATTTACTGTCTAACAAACCATGTTGATATAAAATGTTGAAGTTAGAGATGACAAAATGGGCTCGGTTCGGAAGGCCGTTACCGTCTAACTAACACTATGAGGTACCTAACTTTAACTTTTTGTACATCTAGAGTTGACAAATATTTGAGTTAGTACGTTTAATATTCCAATAAGCACTGCATAGTTTAAGTTAAATGTGGTAATTCAAAAGACCATTCATTATCTTAATTGAATAAAATGCAGTGAGATAATTTTACAATTTGCGTTAATTTTTACGAGACAAGCAAATTGATTTCTTTTTTTCCTTGTGCATCGCACGGGTAATACACTTTTATATATATATATATATATATATATATATATATAGAGAGAGAGAGAGAGAGAAATAGTGACACGTTCTTTCTTTTAGAAATTAATCAACGACGGTCGCTATAAAACTTTTGATTCTTTTTCTCCGTGCATCGCACGAGTAATGTAGTAGTTTGTAATAATAATAGATATCGGTATTAATTTGGATTAGTCTACAATAATTGGGTATGTGTAAGCCAATTCAAAACAGGTTAAATATAGTTGGTTGATAAATTATTAGCTTAATATAACCTTAAGTCTTAAGTTTTTTATCTTGGCAAGTTATAGTTCACGTTTTATATATCAATTTATATAATTTTTTTCAAAAATATTAATGTTTAATATTATATATTTAAATTAAATTAAATTTTATTAAAAAAATAAAATTATTTAGTTGAAATAAATAAATGTGCTTAAAAATATTTAATTAAACTTAAAAAACTAATTATGATTTTTTTTTTTAAAGGTACATACTGACTGAAAATAAATTAAATTAAATCAGTCTAATTTACCCCAAAAAAAAAAATTAAACTTTATTAGTCCAAGTGTCCAAACCATATATTTTACCATGTCAGTCAAACTATAGAAAGTGATAATACAATTTACAACAATAAAGAAAAAAGAAAAAGAAAAAACCTGAATATCCAACTCATTGGTCCACTCGCTTTGTGCTTACTTGCTATGGGCTATGGCAGTTCCATTGACCGAAACTTCTTACTACTTTCTTGCACCATTTTCTTCCTCTTTTTCAAGCGTGTTCAGATATTAAAAATAGAAAAAAAGAGCACGTTTCTCTTACCCAATGCCATGTCAGTCATAGTCAGGGGTCAAAGGTACCGCGTTACCATTTAATCTGTGCACACGCTGACACGCACACGTTTTCTTTCTTTCTTTTTTTTCTTCCTTCTTATCCTCACACTAATACTGTGTAATATGTATAAATACCACCATAGAGCTTCTTATCTTTCCCACCCAAATTCTTCAGCGTTCACACTTCCCTTTCACACAAACCTCCTCTTTCACATGGAAATCGACTCGTTCCCATTCATGAACCTCGAAGATTACTATTCATTCCAAGACATGGATCCCAATTTCATTGTGAACACAAAAAAGCGTCACAGAAATGACATCGAAGATGCACCACCTCAATGGAAAACCAACAACGACTACGCATTAAACGATATACTCACTTCCCTCATTCAATTAGACCACAAACAGCAACAAGAAGAAGAAAAAAAACTCATTGTCATGGATGAATCATCAAAGAAGAAGATTGCTCGTCGCTCTTCAACTCCCAAAATTGAAGACAATTCCGCTCAACCGAGTTCTTCGGTGGGCCCACACCGCCGCTTATGGGTGAAGGACCGCTCCAAAGACTGGTGGCAACGCTGTAGCCACCCGGATTTTCCGGAAGACGAGTTCCGAAGGTCTTTTCGAATGAGCAAAGCGACTTTCGAACTGATTTGCAACGAACTCGAATCTGCCGTTACGAAGAAGAACACAATGCTGCGTGACGCCATCCCCGTTCGCCAGCGCGTGGCCGTTTGCATATGGAGGCTCGCCACCGGTGACCCTCTTCGCATCGTTTCAAAACGCTTTGGATTGGGCATATCCACGTGTCACAAGCTCGTTCTCGAGGTCTGTTCCGCTATTAGAACTGTTCTGATGCCCAAGTTCCTTCATTGGCCTACCGATGATGGTAACATGAATTTGATAAAGCACGAGTTCGAGTCCCTTTTTGGAATCCCTAATGTTGGTGGCGCAATGTACACTACCCATCTTCCTATTATTGCACCCAAGTCCAATGTTGCTGATTATTTCAATAAACGACACACCGAGAGGAACCAGAAGACTTCTTACTCGATTACTGTTCAGGGGGTGGTTAACCCAAAAGGGGTTTTCACTGATGTGTGTATTGGTTGGCCTGGTTCTATGTCTGATGATCAGGTTTTGGAGAAATCTGCTTTGTATCAGAGGGTAAGCAGGGGAAGTTTGAAGGATGTTTGGGTCGTTGGCAATTCTGGGTACCCTCTTATGGATGGGATTTTGGTTCCTTATACGCATCAGAATCTTACTTGGACTCAGCATGCTTTTAATGAGAAGGTTGGTGACATTCAGAACATTGCAAAGGATGCTTTTGCTAGGTTGAAAGGTAGGTGGTCTTGCTTGCAGAAGAGGACAGAGATGAAGCTCGAGGATTTGCCTGTGGTTCTTGGTGCTTGTTGTGTTTTGCATAATATTTGTCAGATGAGAGAAGAGCAAATGGACCCTGACTGGAACTTTGAACTCTCTGATGATGCCATGGTTGCTGAGAACCCCATACGTTCTGCCACTTCAGTGCAGGCTAGGGATAATATTGCTCACTTTTTGCTACACCATGGCCGTGCAGGCACTTCTTTCTTGTAGTCCTTTTTTCTGTTTTCTGTCAAGTGTACTCTGATTTTGTCATTCTTTTGGCTATGGCTTATCATTATAGTCATGCACTATACTAGGGAATAAGATTGTAATATATACTAGGGGTGGGTATAGTATAGGTATTTCTATAATCTAATGTGTATAAAGATTTTTTGCCCAACCTAATAATGAATGGATTGAACTTTGTTAGCTGAATGCTTTTCAACATGTCCGTTTGGTTTCAGAGATTTTCTGTTCAGTTCCTCTTTCTACTTGAAACATGTTGGAATCCGAGTTTTGGTAGTTCTAAAATTACGTGCTTCTTCTTCGTTGTGCAGTTAAAATTGACGTTTAATCCTCTTCAGTTTTTTGTTGTTGTTGTTGTTGTTCTCTCTCCTTGTGTAATGACATAATAAATGTTGTTCTGCTGTGTCACACAATGTTTGACTCTTAAAACTGTAGCTCTCCAACCTGGGAAGAATTTCTGATGTGCTTTTCGTGTTTTGACTTTTGTTCACTCAGTCTTGTTAGGAGAAGGGGGACCAATCGAGAATCCTGTCTAATTTTTATTCTTTCTTCTTTTTAGTCATTAAGTATTTCAAAAACTGAGTTTACCTTTGATACTAGGTCTCTTATACGCCAAAAAAGTCATGTTTTTATCTCCCAAGATTAACGTATAACAAAAGAATCTTTTGGTTGTGTCTCTGCATTTGGAACACTGGTGGTCTCAGGATGCTTTCTGAACGGTTACTCCTAGAAAATTCTGGTCAGACATGTTGTTAATTTGTCCATTTGTTGACTATAAAGTTTCTCATGTAATTATGATTTATTGATATAAAATTTTTGTATATATCTCTTTTTATACGTATTAAATAGATGAGAGTTAATTAAAAATTTGATAAAATTAATAAAGAGAAAGAGAGACACAAATTTTTTACATGATTTTCTTGTATAAAATTTTAACATTAGAGGATGTGAGAGGAAATTGAAGCGTGTAAAATGTGATTTGTACTGTTGTAAGTTTTACTATTGAATCACAACATTCCCTGATAATATTACTGGTACTTAATTGGCCAGGCTCATCCTTGGTTCAAATGTGCGGAATGGGACAATGTCTCCGAAATGGAAGCAGCATTTAAACCACGAGTCATTGGGGACCTTGACACTCAAATCCATTACATATGTGAGAGACTGTCTTGGTCATGCTAGCTTATTGCGGTTAACATAAGTGCGAGCATTAGCCCCAATACCAAATCCTACTATTTCTTTGATGGGTTACACATACCTTTCTTCCGGTCTTGCTTATGGCCTCTCTGCAGGCATGGCCATAGGCATCGTTGCTGATTATTTCAATAAGAGGATTTTTGTTTGTGACCAAGTTTGATCTCTTCATTTGATGATGAGATGGTTGCCACTTCAGTGCAGGCTCAATTTTTGTTACACCATTCTGATTTTGTCATTCTTTTGGCTGTGGACACACTAGAGAATGAGATTGTAATACTAGTGATGAGTATAGGTATGACAATGTGTATAGAGGTTTTTTTTCCCCAACCAATAAATGAATGGACACTTCAATTTTGTTAGCTGTGAAAAAGGCTTTTGGCCATTCAGAGATTTTCTGTCCAGTTCATCTTTCTGCTTGAAACGTGTTGGATTTAGAGTTTAGGCAGTTCTAGAACTACGTGTTCCTTATTCCTTATGCAGTTAAAATTGACATTTAATCCTCAATTAATGTAGTTCAGTTGTGTCCCACAATGTTTGACCCTTAGTCCCTTAGAACTCTAGCTCTCCAACCTAGGAAGATTGTTAATGTGCTTTTGTGTTTTGACTTTTGTTTGTTCTGTCTTGTTGGAAGAAGGGGGGTCACTGGAGAATCCAGTCTAATTTTTTGTTCTTTTGTTATAATCATTAAGGAATTCAAAACCTGAGTTTGCAATTCATACTTGGTGGATATTTTGCCTGGTTCAAAAATTTATTGCATCCCATGCGATATATGTGATTTATCTAAAAAAAAAATTATTGCCTCAAAGGCCAAAGTAATGTGTCTAGCTCCCAAGATTAATGTTACAAGGAATAATAAAGGAATCTTTTGGTTGTGTCTCTGCATTTAGAACACTGCTCGTCTCATTTTTGCCACTGTCAAGGGGATGCATCGTCTCTTGGTATGTAAATGTTTTACTAATGTAATGCATCCCCCTTATTAGCTCTTTAATCTTTTTATACTAGTTGGTATTAGACAAAAAGCTAATAATGCGGAAGTTCTACCTTTTTGGTTTGTAATTTCCTTTTTTTTTTTTTTTTTGAGTAAATACTTTTTTTGGTCTTTAGCAAATTTCACGATGTCCGTTTTAGTCCCTAGCAAATAAAAAGGTTCATTGTAGTCCTTAAAAAATTCAAAATGGACTCATTTAGTTGAAAAGACCCATATTAGTCCCTAAAAGGACTAAAATGGGTCCATTTTGAATTTCTTAAGGACTACGATGGGCCTTTTTATTTGCTAGGGACTAAAGCGGATATCGTGAAATTTGCTGAGGACCAAAAATGGTATTTACTCTTTTTTTTTAAACATGAAATTAAACGAATTTTATCGTGTGAAATTTTTACTTGACATATAATCCACTCCCAAATCTTTTACTTTCCAACTATCTATGATATTATTATGGTTGTTGAATGTTGATTGCTACAATATAATGTTAATAATGTTGGTATGGCTAATACGTATGTTGATGAAAGTTTTGTTGTCGGGGTCAGCAGAAAGGTAATTGGGTCCTGCTCTCAGGTGAGCGGACGGGGTTCGGAGTAGCCACGTCCCTAGGCCCGCAGAGGCTAGGTACTGTTGTAGACTTATGATCTATTGCAATTTTTTATTTTCTTAGTAGTTTGAGCTTGGGCCCCTAAATAATTGTTGTTAGAATTTTTCTAATCTTATTTATATTCTTTTTGTAAATCAAGTGACTTATAGCGAGTGACAGTGAAGTGACTATAGTACAGATAAGCTGAACGTAATCTATATTAGATAAATCAGGATAAATTACCGTATTAATCTCTCTTCTCTATTCTTTTTCTGTTTTGTCAATTTTATGTGACCGTGGATTTCCAACCAATATAACATTTAACGAAAGCATGTGCGGTTAACGGCAACTTTGACACCTCGTGGTTGAAGGTATATCATCAGAAACGCGAAAGCACATCGTACCGATGTGATGAGGAATGAAGAACACCGCTTTGATTACCTGAGATGAAGTAGCGAGCGTGACAATTTCTCACGTTCTGTTCTCCTCCTCAAGCCTCACGATCTGCAGCAACGCACCACGAACGGTCGCAATTCCGCTCTACGGTTGATCTTCCAGGCTATGACTCAAGGGGATCAGGTGGTCGTGTGGGCAACCGTTCAGATGATGAACGTCTGCCTCTTAGGTGTGTTTCTAATGTCTGCAACCCTGGGAGGCACAAGGGAGAAAAATGTGATTATATACCCTGCCCAATCCAAAACTAACCCTAAGCTTCATGGGTTAAAATTGGACTTTGGGCTCACTCTCACTAAAGCCATTGGGCTTAAGTGAAAAGAGCATATTAAACCTAACAATCTCCCACTTGCTCTTTTGGACACAAACTTGAGTTCATAAACCCAAGACAATGTAGCCCATAAGCCATCATCATCTGATTATACAACCCATCCCTTGTCTCAAGCTAGCCTGGGATCTACCATCTGTCACTCATCAAGGCTCCTGATAATTTTTGAAAGATTATCTAATTCAACGCTACTCCACTAAAAGCCCAAACGTGAACTCCAAGATTAATGACCTTTATAACATGAATATGCATCGCCCCTTTGTAGAATGTCTATAATTGATTGACAAGTTTTCTGTAACTCAATCAATTATTTATTCCCTTGACTATGATAGTTTCTCTATTGGATTACATGCACTGGCCAGTGTCTTTAATATCCAAGTACCGAATCATATCAAGGGGACATATCCTACAAATTCCATGTTTATCTCATAAATACCAATGATCAAATAATCTGACTCCCAAAATACCGAGTTATTGGCCGTCAATAGATCGAACATCACCCGTTGGTAAATCAAAGAATGAAAACTATTTGATTACCTATTTATAATAAACTCAGGATTAAGAGCAATCACAAAACTATAGTTAACTGGAGATTTGATACCTTATGACAGAAAAACAACCTTAATCAAATCTCTCCTTGATCCTTTCAATGTGAATGTTAATTCACACAAATATTTTACAATGATTCGGACAAAACCATTTCATAAAATATTGCAGCCTAAATAAAGTGCCCAACTTTATTTAACGGCTGTGATTCCATTCATCAATTGTGAAAACCTATGATCATGTCCTCCATGAACGTATCCATATGATCATATACTCCACAATTTGATCCGGACCTTTATGTTTGTAAATAGTGCGCAAATAAATAAATAAAACCTTGTTTATGAAATTCAGAAAATTATTTTATTGTTTTATCGTCTTACTACAAGAGCACAATGAAACCAATAACTCACACTTGCTTAATGCAAGTCTGGGATCCTCCTAAGACCCAAAGAAGTAACATGCCTCTCGAACACAAGTTCAGGCAAACTCTTAGTAACTGGGTCTGCAAGATCTACCTCTAATGCTATCTGAGTTTAGTGAAAAACTCATAGCTCGAGGTTGATTTTCTTGAGTCAATATCCACTTGAAATAACTGAATTTTTAAAAACTCAGCTTTTCAAGACTCCCGCTAGAATATACCAGCATATAATCTCTCGTTCTCCAAAGATACTTGAGTACATGCTTAACAATAATCTAGTATTCCTCTAGGTTCAAAATGGTACTATCTCACTACTCCCACTGCGTGACAGATGTCTGGTTTAACGCCCAACATGATATGCATGAGTCTACCTTTGCCAAAGCATAAGATATCCTGCTCATGCATTCTTCCTTCTTAGAAGTCTTTGGTTACTCCTTAGGAAGATGAATTCTACATCTGAGAATTATAATTCTTCACTTAGAATTCTCATGTTGAATTTTGGCAAGAGTTTTGTCAATGTAAGTAGCCTGAGGTGATGCCAACAACTTATTCTTCCGGCCT